TTCCACACACTTGACCCCTACCCCTACCCTTACCACGATCTTACACTCTACCCATACTACCCTAAAACCCTTCATACCCACTCATACCTACTCGTAGGGGTCGGGTAGGGAAGGAAGTGGGGGGTGGGTGGGGGTGGGATGGTAAGGTCTACGGGTACGGGGTTTGGTGGTGTAGTGGGTGGTTAGGGTGGTGGTTAGGGGTAAGGGTGGGGGTAGTGAGTAGGGTTTGGGTTGGGGTAGGGTAGGGAGTTGGGATAGGATGGCGGTAGGGTGGGGCCGGGATCATGATGGGGCCGAGGTAGGGGAAGGGGTAGGGTGGGGGTAGGATGGCAGTGGGGTGGGGGTAGGATGGCGGTACGAGGGTGGGGGTAGGATGGCGGTAGGGTGGGGCCGAGGTAGGGGACATGTGGGAAAGGGTAAGGTAGGGGTAAGGGGTAATATACGAGGTGGGGGTAAGGTAGGGTGGGTAGGGTGGGGTTGAGGTGGTAGGGGTGGCGGTAGGGTAGGGTGGATCGAGGTGGGACCGAGGTAGGGGCATGTGGTAGGGGGTGGGGGTAGGGTCATTATAGGAAAAAGGGGTATGCGGGGTGCAGGTGGGTGGGTAGGATAGGGTAGGGGTAAGGGGTAAGGTACGAGGATGGAGGTACTAGAATGGAATCGACATCGGAGCGGGACCGGACTCACCACTAGGTGTAAGTATGCAAATTCATTACAGCAGCCTGTAGCATCTGCGTTTTCCAAATTTCGAAAACTAGTAAAAGTCACTTCTCCAAATCATTAAGGAAATGAGAGACATGTCTCATTTTTTCGTTTTGGAAAACGGTTTGGTAAACGCGTTTTTCTGTTTTGCTTTCTCCAGTTTTCCAGCAATTTTCTGTGGTAAACACGTTTCCTGTTTCCTGTTTTCTAGTTTTCCAGTTTTCTGGAAAACTGGAAAATATCTCTGTTAGTAAACGCCTTCTTAGTTTTGGCCTTTTATATGGTGTACGAATTGTGTGCATCCAATGTACATTAAGCATTTTCGAAAAAAGAAAGAGAATAAAAAGACTTTTGCAGGAATTAAATAGAGATAACTGATTTGGAGATAAGGGGGATAGGTAGAGGGAATTCAAGGAACCGGTGAACGCCTTATCTTCTTAATTGCAATGGAAGTTGGATATACATACACACACACACACACACACACACACACACACACACATATATATATATATATATATATATATATATATATATAGAGAGAGAGAGAGAGAGAGAGAAGATCATGTGAGAAGTCCCCTTAGGCTGAGAAGCTGCGAAGTCTAACTTATAAGCTCAAAACACGAACTTTTAACCAATAAATCATAACTTATAGACCCCCTCCAAAAAATTACGAAAATGTCACCGCGTCAAAATAACTCCAGAAACCTGGAAATTTTTTTGCAGAAAGTTCGTGTTTTTGATGGGGTCTATAAGTTATGATTTTTTGGTTAAAAATTCATGTTTTTTGCTTATAAGTTAGAATTCGCAGCTTCTCAGCCTAAGGGCACTTCTCAGCTGATCCGCTCGCTATATATATATATATATAGTTTGATAAAGTAAAAAGATTGAGCCAGATATATTATTTATATAGTATATTGTGTATATTTCATATTTTAATTTCAAAAAGACACATTTAGTTTTAATTTATATTCAGTACACTGAATCGCAAGAGGCTGTATGAATCGTATAATCGTATGATCCTACAGCCCGGATCACAATTTTAACTACCATGATTTTGAAGGCCCTAGATAGAAAAACACTTAAAATGTAATTTCTAGCTAAATGAATGTGATTTCTAGCTATGCCGTAATTTTAAGGCATATGAATGTGATTTCTAGCTATGCCATAACAGCCATTAAATAATAAATATGAGATAAATTGAATAAAAACACACCGTATGAGAAACAAAGTAAGCATATACAATATGCACCATATAATGTAAACGTCAAAAAATAAGATTTTACATGTAGACATATACAAAATACACCTAATCTTGATGATTCAAGTTTTTGTTTGCTCCTCATGACAATACCAAATCACAAAGAAATCAATCGACAAAAAAACCGAAAAATTGACAAATACAGTTTTTTATAACAATCATAAATCAAACTAAGTAAAAATTTATTTCAATATTTCTACTACTGACAATATACCAAACTACTTAAATTTAACAATCCGGAACTCCCCAATAAGCAATATGCCAATATTAACTCAATTTTTATTAATAAATTATAATTATAATTGCATTAATCGCAAGCTTAATTATAGTTTTATTTAGGAATTTTATCAAGCCCGAATGATTGAAAAGTAGTAATATATGACCTAAAATACCATAGCTTTTGATTTATTCAATTTTTCATTAATTCCATTGCTAAGTTTTGAAGATTTTTTTTCACAAATGTTTATAAGTTTAACAAGATTAAATAATATTTAAATTTTTAAAATTCAAGATACAAATTATTAAAATGCGTGATATTTTAGGTCAAATTTATTTTATTTAATACTTCCTCCTTTTCTTTTTAGTTGCAACGGTCTCATTTTTTGGTTTATAAAGCAAAACTTTGACCATCAACATATATAAATCTCTATTATAAACCGCAGACGAATTCAACAATATTTTTCAAAAAAACAAATGTATCATAATCAATAAATTCAATCTAGTGAAAGTAGAGTAGCATGTGAGTAGTTTAAAATTAACATGTGGCAACTAAAAAGGAAGGTGAGTGTAGTCCAATGGATGACCATTCATCCCCAAGTTTCTCCTTTGGGGGAGGTTTTGGGTTCAATTCCCACCAAGGGCGATGAGGGAGGTCTTGCTCCCAATGATTCTCCCTACCTTCACGGAGTTGCTCAGCGGCTTAGAAGGTAGAGGACGGTAATAAAGGTAGCGGGTTTGTGTGGTGGGAGGAGCAACCTGAAATGTGAGGTAAGTCCTGCTGAATTCGTCCTTTGGAGCCGGTACTGATGAGAGACTGACTGTGATCAGATTCGGACTTAACTGTCTATGAGCTTCGGAGGTTAGTTCATAGACTACAGGATCATTGGAGTTTAAGCCCCGACACTTGTATTATCAAAAAAAAAGGAATGTACCTTCGGCTTCCAGTATTCCTTCGGCTTTAGTCCTTTTAGACTGGCAGAAGCAGCATCGAATGAGACTAAATACTTCGTCGTAAATAACTAAAGAGTAATAGGAGAACTAGACTCAGCGTCTCAGCCTATCAGGCGAAGTGGCGAACAACAGGAGGCGGTCAGCGGACAGCAGTTCCACGCTTTCCGGTCGACGTCCACGTCGGTTGGTACCCGGAGAAGGCGTCGATTGCAGGTTAGACGCGGTTTGCGGTCGTCGACGTGAGAAGGCGGTTTACGGTCGTCTACAATTGAATTGACTTTGGGAGAACTGTAGAAGTGAATTGCCCCGATATCCGATTGATTGCTGCTTGCTGGCCAGTGAAGCTGTCGACACCTTTCCGTACCTCTAATACCATTTTTAACTTTTTTGTCATATTCCCTTTTGTAATTTCTCTTTTAATAAAGCAAACATTTCCGTGGGTAATTTCACTTTGTCATTTTCAAAATTTTGACCAATTATATCTTTTTATTGAAAATTATTTATAATATAAAAAATATATGAAAATGTTCTTTGTTAAAAGTACTTTCTTAAAAGTATAAATTTTTTAATTTCCATAATATTATACTTCAAAATCAATGTTCAATTTTTTTGAAATGACAAAGTTTTTTGGGACGGAGGTAGTATTGGACACTGGGGTTTTTGAAGGATCAAATAAACACATATTCTAACTTATACGCTAATTTTAAACCACCCCACTAACATTCTCATTCCAGGCCCGTTTGTCCGTTAACTCTCCCCTTTCCCTGCGATTAAACAGACAATCCTCATTTGCAATCCTAAGTGAATTTTCATGGACTGTAAGTGCGAGTCGACTGAGAAGATTAGAAGCTTAAGATTTACGTTTACTGATGGACTCCGTTCAACCGCTATGAAAGAGGAGGCTGAAAAGAAATTGAAGATCAATGTTAGCTTGTACAAATGTAAAAGAGCCAAGAGATTGATTATCCAAGAGATGAGTGGGAGCTATAAGGTTGAGTTTGGGTATCTTGAAGCGTATGCTGCAACCTTACAGAGAAGTAATCGTGGCTCCAAAGCTGAAATAGAATTATGCAGTGCTGCATTGAAAGAAGGAAACTGAGTGTTAAAAAGAATGTTCATCTATTTTGCTGCTTTGAGGCAGAACTGGTTGGCAGGTTGTAGAAGGATCATAGGGGTGGACGGTTGTTTTTTAAAGGGTGTGTGTAAGGGGATTTTACTGGCTAAATTGGGAGTTGATGGAGATGGACAAATGGTTCCTATAGCATGGGGTGTGACTGACAAAGAAAACAAGTCTAATTGGAGGTGGTTTCTAACTTGGCTTGTGCAAGAACTAGTCCTCAAAAGTGGTGTTGATTTAACCCTTATTTGAGATATGCAAAAGGGGTTAATCATTGCAGCTCAGGATGTCATACCAGATGCAGAACATAGGTTCTGTGCTCGCCATGTTTATGCAAATTGGTCAAAAAGTGGAGAGGTGACCAGTTTTGCAAAAAATTCTGGACATGTGCTTGGAGCACATATGAAGAAGAGCTACAAATGAACTTGAAAAGGTTTGGGAAATTAAGCAGTGAAGCCGCTTCTGATGTGTTGAAATATCCAATTCAAACTTGGTGTCGGGCATACTTTAGTAGCCGAAGTCAATGTTGGATGGTTGATAATAACATCACAGAGTCCTTTAATGCATGGATTCGAGAAGCAAGAGCAAAACCCATTGTGAGCATGCTAGAAGATATACGCTTGAAGGCAATGAAAAGAATTTCATATTTTAAGGTCAGTCATGAGAAGTGGATTAATGATTGGTCTCCCTCATGCATGGAGTACTTTCAAGCTAACAAGGACGTTGTCACTGGATGCAATATCATTTTTAATGGGGACATGGGGTTTGAGATAGGTGAGGGTGAAGATAAACACATTGTCATGTTAGATAAGATGATGTGCACTTGCAGAGCATGGGAATTGACTGGCATACCTTGCTTACATGCTTTGTGTGCTTTATTTTACAAGAAGGTGGATGCCATGACATATATATCTAGGTGGTATCATATAAGAAACTTATGTGGCAGCATATCAGCACCCTTTGCAACCTGTTCCCGGAAAGGCCTTCATGAGAGTGGAAGAATATGAAGCTATTTTACCTCCCTCAGTGCCAAACTTACCTGATAGATCAAAGAAAAACAGGGTTAGAGCCTCAAATGAGGGCAAAGGTGTGGGAAGTGGTGCAAAAGGTGTTGATAGTACATCTCATAGAGCATCAAGAAAATGCCAAGTCCAAACCTGTGGGATATGTCATGTAGATCGAGCCAAATGTCCAAATAAAGATCGAGCTGTAAGTAATAAATACTATTTATGACTTTTAAGACTTTTTTTTGTAATTTGTAAGACTGCTTTTATATTTAGAAGGTTGTTATTGTAATTTATGTGTGTTTGTTACTTCTAAAGAGTGATTAAGGTATATATGTGTGAATAATATGTGTTTGTTACTTGTGAAGAGTATTTCAGGTATATATGTAAGTATAATAAGTGTTTGTTAGTTCTACAGACTGATTAAGGTATATATGTGTGAATAATATAAGTTTGTTACTTCTGAAGATTTATTATGGTATATATGTAAGTATAATAAGTGTTTGTTAGTTCTACAGACTGATTAAGGTATATATGTGTGAATAATATAAGTTTGTTACTTCTGAAGATTTATTATGGTATATATGTGAATGTATAATATCATGTAATGTGTGTTTAGGCATCTACTGAAACAAGAGAAGGTGTTACACCTGGTATTGGGAAGAGGCCTGCTTCAGTTGTTTTTTCGCCAGATCCTAGCACTACACAAATGCCACAAGGACCACTTCCAAAGCCAAATACAGTAAGGACTCATGGTAAGTCAAAATTGCCTTGTAGAAGAATTGGCAAGAGAAAAGGTAAACAACCAGTCAAAGGGTTTGGCTGCTATGTTGATGTCAACAATGGTGAAAACACTATAAATGTGAGTTTTTTATACACAATGCAGTGTGAATTCAATGCTTGTTCTGACTATTTAAGAAGTGGGTGTTTTGTTGTAACTTCATATCCATTTACTCATTCTTTGTTGCAGCATGGGATGGACAGTGAACAAGTGGTTTCTCATCTGCAAAATGAAGTGGCACATGATCCTGATGTTAATGTCAGGTTTGCTATTCCAAATGAGAAGGAAATCAGATGTGCTGCTAGAGTTCAAAAGGAGATAGATGTCCCAGCATATAGGACAATATCTTTCAAGGGTGATGGAGCTCAAGGAATAAAACCAACTAACCTTCCCTTTGAAGCACCCGGTTTGCAATGGAAGGGGAAGAAAACCATCAGCTCCACACATTTGTTAAACAAGATGCAAAGGAGGAGGCCTTCTTCAATCCAGACTGATCTGCCCGACCCCACAGTTTAAGAGTTGACTTGGATGTTGTATTCAACCCATTTTTTGGATGTTATTAAAGTTGTCAGTTTTTTGGTTTAGTAGGCGACAACATTGACTCTTACTGTGAAGTTTTTGTTCTCGTGCCTACATGGCCAAGTTCAATGGTTTTTTAGATTTTGTAAACTCATTACTAAATGGTAATATGGCCTCTAATGATATGAACTTATGATAATGTTATGTTGTTATATATTATGACGATTAAAAGTTCATGATTTAGTATTTTTATGAGATGTTATTTAGGAGATTTGTGTATAAGATGGTATAACAGTTATTTAGGTTTATTTACAAACTGAATGAGAGTTGATTAAGCTGTTAGTACTTCAAGATGTTATTCAAAAGGTAATGACAGATCTTCAACACCTCTGAAAGAACTTTTATTGAGCTCAACAACACCTCTATATAACAATCATCCTCTCATACAAACAATTACTACATTAGTACTGCTATAACATAAGTGAACCACTTCATTAATACAAGTATTCCCACAACAAAGCCATAACAGTAGTACCAAACTAAACCAAGTATAACAACACTAAAAAGCAACTTTGTTCTATCAATAACCTCTTTCTAATGTTACAACACAAAACATTAAGAACTTCAACTACCTTAAAAGTAAATATATCACCACAACAACGACACACAACACCATTGAAATCACATTTTTCCTATTCATATTTGCTCCCCTGTCCAATTCCAGATTATTCCCAACCTTCCTACTGTTAATCTCTTCAACTTCACACTTCAACTTTTGAATGGAGTTATCATCATATTCTAGGAGTGATATTTCATCAAATTTCCCTCCTGCACGTATGGCCTCCTCCGGTCCTAATATTGTAGTGTGTAGTCTTCTATTCCCCCTTTTAGATCATTGATAACATGTTTCGCCCTATCTGTTAATGGCTCATCATGCCACTCAAAAAACCCGCAACCATCCTTTTACAAGACACAGAAATAACAATATACATCACATGGGGTGAAAGAATACTTTTAAAAATTCAAATTGAAATTACCTCATAATACAAACACCCATAGAACCCTCTCCCCGGATTCTTATCAGTCCACGAAGTCCAAAGTCGCGCCTCCACACGGGCTCCATTTGCATTCCCGCACTTACAGTACCTCGTTCGTCCAGAATTTTGGCTATTGATGCTGCTTTGAAAGTTTAATGAATCAATGGAGTTTGCTTTGTGTATCCCTTCTGAGCTTGATGGTGAAGGACTAATGTCCATACTTATGGTTTCCTCTTCCAATACGTCTGCACACACTTTAATAGGTAGCTTCAATATCAATTAGGGTTGTTGGGAATGTATTTATGGAGGTGTGTTTAATAGAAGGGGGAGACATGTAGTTAGCAGGTTAACGGCCATCGAACGGGAATGCTAGTGGGATGGTTAAAATTAGCGTATAAGTTAGAATATGTGTTTATTTGGTCCTTCAAAAACCCTAATGTCCAATACGAGATTCATTAAAAACTTTAGTGTCATTTTTGGTCCTTTTTCCAAACTACAATAAAAGTTTTATAAAGTCGTGAAAATTAGAATCAGATTTGATAAAAATTTAATATATGAAGTAAGATATTAAAAGTGATTTGTGTCGATCAAGTGAATATGAACTCGAACAATTTAGTGGAACGGAGGGAGTAACACTTAGCACCTAACTTTCAACCACATCATTTTTACTATTTTTATTTAACACTGAACATAAACATAAACATCTTTACTTCACAAGCGACTAAGCGGCGCTTAAAATAGACACTGCTATAAAAACATATTCAGTTCACAAGATTTAAAACCATGTTTAATATTAAAATGTTCAAAATAACAATATACATATATAGACATACAAACATTCATGTATACACAAGTATATACATATATAATACGTGGGGGCCTACCCCTTACTCCCCCTGCCTCTCGTATGCGTACTCATACCCGAATCAAACCAAAAATTGGTACTTTGGTTTGGTTTAAGTTTACTTAACTAAACCGTTTGATAATAATTTGCTCAAACCGAATGGTTTGGTTTGGTTTTAAACCGTTAACCGTAAAAGCGTAAACTGAACCGAACACCGAACAATTTGTAATATTTATAAAAATAATTGTATTTGTCTCACTCTTCATCTTTAGGATATAAATAAATAATTTTGATATGAAAAATATAGTACATGTTTAGCATATACATTTTAACTTTTACACGTTTTATACATTCATTATGATAGAATTAACTAATAAAGTAATAAGACATATTTGTATGTGTTATAGTTTTTACTCTACATGTATGAACTTATACATTTTTAACGCCGAATAATTTAATTTTCTTTGAATATTTTATTTGATATTATAAATGGTAATCAATTATAAATATATTTTTTGTGAGCGGTGAATCATTTTTCTAGTGATTGAAAAGATGTTGGACGTTTTCATGTCACCAGTGTTGGTAAGATAAATTAGGTGTTAATTTATACTCCCTCCGTCATGTTAGAAGGCTCGCGTCCACTATTCTCATGGTCAACTTAAATCATTTTTAATCTTTTACTTTATAAATCAAATTTTTGCCAAATTTAGATTTTTTTATCAAGCTTTGTAGCGGTTTTTAATGTAGTTTCTGAATATGTTAATTTTATTTACTAAAAATAAACAGATTGTGAACAGGGATTAAGTTGATTTATCGACAGTCAAGCATCGTAAACCGTTCACGAGAACCTTCTAGTAGGACTGAGGGAGTAATATTTTATTATTTCTTTTTCTATCTGTTATTTCCTTTTACATTTTATTTAAATATTAAATACAAAAAGACATGATGGACTGCTATTTATATTTTATAATTCTAAATATAAAATTTGGTCAAATAAAATAATAAACATATGAAACCGAATCAAATCGAACTAAATTCAAAATAATAATTTTCACTTTGATAAACCAAAGTGAAACCAAACCGAAACACAAATGATTAAATTTGGTACAATGTCTCCCAAACTGAATAAACTGAAACCGATGAAAACCGAATCATAAACTGAATTGCTAACCCTTACCTCCGACCCGTTCGACCTGTACTCGTAACCCTACCCCTTACCCCTACCCCTGACTACTGCACCCCCAACTCATCCGTACCCCTTACACCCACCCCCTTACCCCTACCCACCCCTAACCTCTTACATGTCCCCGTTCTCGTACCCCTACCCCTACCTATAGGGTAAAGGTGGGGGAAAGGATAGTAGGGGTGTGGGTAGGGGCACGAGGTAGGGTTAGGGTCGGGGTTAGGGAAGGGGTAGGCACGAGGGATCGAGGTAGGGACACATGTAGGGGGTAGGGGGTAATGGGGGATGAGTAGTGGTAAGGTCGGGGTAAGGGTGGCAAGGGGATAAGGATAGGGGATAGGGTTGGGGCATGGTAAGGGTACGCGTACGGGTAGGGGTCAGGGGTACGTATGGGGACAGGTAAGGCATACAGACAAGGGGTGGGGGTGGGTACGGTAGGGGTTGGGTAGAGGTAGGGTTTAGGGGTAGGGGTATGAGTAAGGGTAAATGTGTAAACTGAAAAAACTTAAATTGCCGCTTAATTAATATATTAGGGATGATATGCTTAGTAAATTGCACTTAAAACACATGTTTAGGTTAGTAAGCAATTTTTTAAGCAGCATGTGTGTTTACTTCACATATCTTACCAACAATAAGTGTGATTTTGACGGCAAAGTAAACACATCCCCAGTAATGTCAAATGAAATTGAGGTAATACCCTTTTGTGCTTTTTGGGTAGAAAAGGCTGAAATGAGTGTTTTTAATCACCAACTTTTACTTATTTTTAAGCTATTTTAGTGAAAAGCTAAAAGTATAGAAAATGTTGCTTTTATTTTTTTTATGACACCAAAAAGCCCATTTTCATCAAACACACTAACTTTTAGTTTTCAAAATCACTTTTCTTTTCAAACACTTCAAAGTACAAACATTTACTATTAATCATTTTTCATATAATTTCTAGAAAAACATTTTCTTTAAAGGTAGAAGCCCTTACAAACACTCACTAATAGCAACCATTAAATTAACTACGGAGTTGATAGAGTATATCTCTAGAGAGAAGTGAGAGCTAGAGAGAGAAGTAGTATATTTGCTTGATGTTAATGAATTCTGAACCCCTACAACTACTCCCAAGGGGAGTATTTATAGAGAAAATACGGGCTGGGCTCCCAAGCCTTGGGCTTGGGAGGCCCATATACAACTGGACCGCTACTGGGCCGAATACAAAGCCACTAATGGGCTGTACAAATGAATAAGTATAAAATCCGGTTCTGTGAGGTCTTCATGGCCGACGAGGGCGTGGCCGACGAGGGCACGGCCGACGGGGGCGCGGCCGACGAGGGCACCCGGGTTCCTTGGCTTCAGGACCATAATCTGAGTTGGCACCTTCTCGGCCGACGAGGGCGTCTTCAGCCGACGAGGGCGCCACTCTGTGTCTTGTGCTTTCTGTTCTTCCGAGTATGTGGGTCCAGGGGCTCAGACCCATATACTCCATCAGGAGTCCCCCACTCTCTAAGCTGAGACGTAGACGAAGTGAAGGAGAGTAGATTCCCGTGTTTTAGCGCTTTTGGCCGATGCGGGCATCCCCGGGTCGTTAGCCGTTGCGGCGTTGGCGTTGTTTCCTCTTTGGTGTGTTCATTCGAGGACGATGAGTCTCCCGCTTCGATGGTGGCCGTTGAAGGCACGCTTTCCTTTTCATGGGCATTGATGGTTGAAGTTTGGGCCGATGAGGCCGTTGAGGTTGTTCCTTGCTCTGAGGACGATGGCGTCCTTTCCTTTGGGTGGCTGATGGGGGTGGTTGCGCACTCCTTTTGGCCGTCGTTGATTAGCTTTCATGTTTCTGGCCGAAGAGCCCCTCGTGATTAAGTGATGGCGAAGGACGATGAGCGTCCTTGCCTTTGGTGGCCCGTTGGCCGTTGCAGATGGCGTTGTGTGCCTTCGGTCGACGAGGTGCAGTGTGACGCATGGCCGATGTGGCCATGCTCTGTGGTTACCTTGTTTGCATTCTCTTTTGTTTTGTTGAGGCCGGTGTAGTCCCCCAGTCCCCCACTTCTTCAGGCCGAAGAGTGTGAGGGGTGAAGGAGTTGCATGAGTCCCAGGCCGAGGCGGCCTCTCCGTAGTGCCCCTGAATCCAA